AAACTTACTCTTGGGGGTAGCCATCATTCTAAAAATAAACTTCTTCCCCCCCCCCTTTTTAGTTCCCTTTCCTATCAACATGCTGTACAACAGCAGGAAATCCCCTCGGCCAACGGAGAACGAACGGTTCACATCGAATTATCACGGCGGCCATTGCGAACAGCAGCGCCTCGCGCGTATTTACTGTTGTGGCTGTGCGTGTGATAATCGCATATTGCGTAATGCTGTCGATGTTCCACATACGCATCGCAGCGAAATATCAGGAAACGCACTAAATGATGAGACGAATGCGAGGATTTTGTAATTTTGGAAAGTTTCAAAACTTCACGGCATTCACAACTCTCCCAAGCATTCATACCAGTTCACCCTACACCGAACGTAGTTCATGCACACGCGCAGAACATATAAAACCGCTGAAACCGGAATCTTCTTAAAATCTCGAAAAATACTTTTCAAAAATATTAAAGCATCAGAAAAATTGTGATGTTCAAAATTTGTGCTCTATAAAAATAAATAAGATTAAATCAATGCGTTCAACAAGTCTCAAAGTTCCAAGAAGATACATTGGGAGAAAAATGAAAAAACAGAATTTTTAAATGATTATGATAGTTTGATTCGAGAAAGGATTTCTGGAAGTAAAGCCCAAAGTAAGGTGTTGGAATCTCTGAGTACATTAATTTCTTGGAAAATTTTCAAATCTGTAAAATTGACATCATGTGATGGACCCTAGCTTCATCAGCGCTAAAAAAATGCATAACTGAATGAAAAGAGTGGGTCTTTTGAGATTAAGACAAAAATGATAAAACAGAATAATTTAAATTCATTCACTCAAGTTTCAGCTAAGACAGGAAAGTGTTAAATTTTTACTTTCTAAGATGCAACAATTGTTATCTTTTTATTTTGAACCAAAATTTTCAAATTTTTTGTTTCTTTTAAGCAGGGTACGAACAAGTCCAAGGAGATTGAAATGATTACCATTTTAGTGAAAGATAGAGTCTAAAAGAAATAATAAGAGGAATTGGGGCTTCTTATAGACCCCTTCCGCTTCTCTAATATGCTTAAAATGCATCTTATATCATATGTAGTCAAAAAGGCTGTTGTCTCACAATTATGAATAATTCCATAGCAACTATGATTTTTCACTTTCGTAAGTTCAATGTTCACACTTCAGTCTAACACATTCTCTCATTCCACCTAAGCAAAAGTCTGAAAAAACAGAACTAGCAAATAAATTTTTTTTCATAAAAATAGTTTATTGGGTGGTTGTGCAGAGGCGTAGTTGAAATGTTTGTGACACATAAAGTGTTTTCTGTGGGGTGGCTTACAGTGGATTTTTGATCTCAATGCTTGCCTCCTAAATCGTCTACTCCTCCCCGCCTAAACCATATTCCTCCCCCCCCCCCCTTCCGCAGTGCTCCGCATACATCTTGAAATTACTTCTGTTATGCAGAGTCGAAAGTCTGTTCCCTCTTCCATTGCTCACCTCCTTCGGTACTCCCCCTCCCCCCCCCCCTAACTCGAGATTATCTCCATTCTGTAGCCGTCGCTTCGCTTGCAGCACACCTTCTCATACGTCGTTTCGAGAATGTGACAAAAAGCTGTTGCTTGTGCGCGCGGATGTGCGGGGGGACTATAGCAGCAGGCCGTGAGCGGAACTACGTGGGGCCGGAGCCTCGGCTCATCCGGTCGCTGCCCTCGCTCGTCGTTCCTCATCGTCGCCGCTTCGCCTCACGGACAGGCGACGATCTCGGCTCGTATTGCTAATCGTGCGTGCGCACATCCGTTGATCGTTTCAATAGCCCAGGTGAAACCGGGCGTGGAGAACGGCGGTCCAGGAAGCCGAGCCTCGCGCGCAGCCGCGCAGCCTCATCCGCTCGTCGGATGAGGCGCGGTGGCTGTCGTCGACGCGGCTGACGAAGATGTCCTCACGTCCTTAACTCACACATATACAGACACGCGTGTGTGGACCCTCTTTAAAAACCAGTTTCACGTGAGGGGAGCTCGGGGGGCGACAGAACGAGGAGGTGACAACGGACGTGCGCCGCCGCTGAGGGTCAAACCACATTCCGGATATGGAGACACACGACGAGCCGCTCGCGCTCACACCACGAACCGCTTGTGGTTTTCAAAGAGACGCTGTTAGCCGCTCACGCTGTCGCGACAGCTTTGACGCGTGTGATAAAAACGAGATAGAGGAAACATTCGATACCGTAATCCGCGTTTGGTGGAACATCACACATGCATAAAAATACACGACACGGATGCATTCAACTGCTAGTCAAATAATTCGCTTATGTTTTTCTTGAAAATCACGATTTCACCGCATTTTTGGAAGAATTCCTCATACTTGAAAGATTCCAAAGAGTATAGTTCAGATACCAGTAAAGATAGATTGATAATTATTCCCTGGCAGACTAGAAAACCCTAGAGTATTTTTCGCAAAACAAGCAAAAAAGGTTCGAAAGACTTAGTCGTTCAAAAATCTGAACTCTGAAGGGTACCAATGGAGCTTCAATACAGACACGATAGAGGTATAACTCTTTAGTATAAATGTATAACTGTTTTGAATTTGAACCTCTCTAACATTTACCACTGTAAAAGTCGAAATCATCCCATAAGGATCAGAAAAATCAAATCAGCGTTTCTTCTGTTTGATCAGAAATAACTTTTCATGCCTCATGAAGAATTTCACTGATTCCAAGAGGTATTGGCAAGATTACAGAGGGTTTTCTAGAGTCTGAGGTCAAGAGACTTCGGATCATGAGAATATTGTGAAAATTATAAGATTTGAAAGCTCGACCAGCTTAAAAACCTCATCAAACATTTCTATTTTGAAAATTTGGGTAAATCCAAGTCTCCATTCCCTATTGAAGACTTTCGGAAAACCTAAATATTCATAGCTCACGTCTACGAAAAGGAAAATAAGCAGTTCACTATAAAATTTTGTTTACGAGGGTGTTTTCAGTGTTTACCTTTGACAAAAGAGCTATTTGGTAACTAACATAATATTCTGGTCGATTTATTCTTGGTGGGACCATTTGTCCTGTAGAACTTCTCTTCTCTCTTAAAATTTTCACTATTTCCGTATAGTTACAACAGCATCAGATGGCTTCTGAATGGCCTGTCCAAAGCAAACATCGCGAACATCGCACGTTCCTACGAAATCGCCATCGGCTGCGATTGACCGCGAGCCGAAAGATCGTGCGGAAAGGAAATCGCAGCAGTGTTTGTTTTTCGACCACGTTCAGTTTCGGGCATCACCCGTTCAAGAAAATTCCTGTGCCAAGAGGTGCAGAGGGGCGGAGCGGAAGCAAAAAAATCTCAAACTTCCATTTTTCTGTCACGAACCATTTTTCCCGAAAAATTTTCCCGTTTTAAAACCAAGTGGTCGCGTGACTTGATCGCATTGAATGTTGCGCCTACGAAAAAAGGCGAATACTTGCGAATTCGGTGCCTCTGTACGTGAGAGCGCAGGTCGAGGTGTTCACGATCCCATGCGGGGGGGGGGGGAAAGAGTGTGCAGGAAACCTGGGACGCGTCGAACGGGCCGAAATGCAAACAATGAACAGAATGGCCGTTGGCTCTCGTATGTGTGTGTGTGTGTGGCGCTACAGCAGCACACGTCATGTCGAAAGTACTCGGGCCAACCCTATTTTTGGCTATTTTTGGCTTACTCACTTGCGAAAGACGATACGTTTACTTAGGTAGAATCTCGGAGGTTCAGTAGGGGTAGCGTAAATGGAGGAAAATGGGGAGGGGAGGGGGAAGGAGGAGGAAGAGGCGAAAAGGCGAAGGATGGGAGCACACGAAAAGGAGATGTACTCTGTAAAACCGATCTCAGGAGAAAGTCAAAAATTGATTATTTTGTTTTTTACCATTTTAAACTTTATGAATATTGATGAAATTCTTTCGAGGTACCTCGCTATTACAATGCCCGATCCTTTCCAGTGACAAATCTATTGCACTAGCATTTGTAGGTTGCAGTACATAAATTATCAATATCAGCACTGCGGTGGCATTACTGTAGCATTACTGTAGCGGTACTACAGCATTACTGTAGTCTTTGACATGGAAATCTTTGTGGAATCGGATGAGATTTTCATCCAATTGAGTGAACTTGAAAGGCGAAATTTTTTACCCTTAGAAATCCAAAATTTTGTTGGTTCAAAAAAATATGAGTTAGACTGAATTATCTCATTGTACTGTGGCATTACTGTATCATTACTATGGCTAATACTTTATGACGTAAGAAAATCACGCATGAAGTCTTGAAAAAATACCACAGTGTGATAATAAGCTGAAAACAATTTTACCACTGAAAATCATTTCTCAAACACCCGGCAAAGAAATTTTAGCTAGATCAAATTTGCCTATCAGGGATTTATAGGTCGCATAGATGATGAACTCAAAAAAGTTAATCACCAAAAAATTCTAACTTGGAATTTCGAGTGCCAGAGAAGATGAAGACAAAAAGAAAGTCATATAAGACAATCAGATCAAGAAAGGGCATATACGCAGTGAATCTTTCGTTCTTTGTAATACCAATCATTTCGAAACCCTTTCCTGCAATTTTATTGCGGATTCCGTGGTCTCAAAATTTCAATCGCAGAGAAAGCTTCACCCCCGGCTTTCTCAGCCATGTGCTTACAAAAATCCGCTCACTTGGCCCACTTGAGGACCAATTAACTCTTGGTTGAATAGGCGAGAGCCTGAAGAGGAACAGGATTTCGAATAGGAAAATGAGTTTGTGGACGTGTTTGGAGCTTTCAATAGTTTTTATGTTTATAATAAAGATAGAGGATAGGATGACAAGAGATGAATTTGATAATAAGGGAAAATTGCCGAATAGATCGGAATATGGCAGGTTTACGTAATAGGAAGTCCATTCAGAAAAAGGAGATCTGGAAGATTTTCATCTCCACAGAAAAACAAGATTGAAGGATTTTCGGTCTCATGAAGAAAACGTGGTAATAAAGGTGATTCCAAAAAATTCTACTCACCATTGATCCAAGGCCACAAAAACGGTGAGATCGGTAAATTTTGATTGGCAATAGGATTAAGCTGTGTGGTCCTGTTTGGATTTGACGACATTGTCGATGTGATTACGGATGTCTGTGTGGGAAGAAGCGACGGCGGTGCAGATGGTGGTGGCGGTTCTATATGTAATTCTGAAGAATCCATTGGGTGATCGAGCCCAATACCTGAAGCCATATGGTTGTTTTTAGGCACAGTTCTTGACCATGGATTGAAATATCTGCTATAAGTAATGAACCTGAATCAGGGCTTGATGTGTCATTATTCATCTGTGAGACGAGAACTCGTTGTCTTTCAAGTAGACGTTGTAGTAAACTGATGGAATCAACGGTGGAAGCGCTTGGCTGCAACGGATGAGATTGATAGAAGCAAAAAATCATAAAAAACCTTGGAAAATCATTTTGGAATTTCTTTTGGGAATTTCCTCATTAGGATAAACAAAAGTGGGAGTTCTTAGCAGGATAAGCTACTTTCATGTCATTAAAAAATTGTGCGATGTTTCTAAAGCTTTGGGGTACAAAAATTGAAAACATGAAGAAATTCCTGAAAAACCATGGAAAACATTTTCGGATTCCGGAAGAGCGCATAAGGAAGATAAAAAATTTAAGATAACAATGTGAACTCAATTTCATGCTTAATGCCCATTTTCATAAATTGAAAAAAATTATCCAATTTTCTAGGGGAGAACCCACATGGTATGGTGAATTGATATATTATAAACCTTATTTATCGAGTTACTTTCAACAATGATCAAAGATAGATGGAAATGGCCATTCTCAAGTTTTTATTCAATTAATTTTTATAAATATGATTCTTCTGAAAAGATTTTGTAAGTAACTCTGATTTCTGAAATGTAGACGATGGGATTTATATTTCATTTTGGCACATTTCCAGGAAAATAATGATCAGCTGCAGAGGCGAATTTACGAGAATCTGTCAGTCACCGGGAATTAAGAAAATTCAAATTCGAAGAAAAAATAATCAAAGACTCAAAAAGAGTTATTTTACTCACTGTTTTCATTCTTCTTAGTTTCGTCCAAGTTATCAATAAGGAATCAAGCTTTTTTCATGCTTGTATTCTTTTCCAAAGCCAAGGAACTCCTCTTATGTAGAAGGACTACTAATGAATTTTTAGCACAATTTATTATTTGACAGTTCACAATTGAAGGCCGAACTCTACACAAGTGAAATAATGTCCGAACATCACGACTCGATCAGGAAATGATTGGCGCAATTCTTATCAGAAATTCGACAACCGGGGGGTCGAAGTCCAAAAGATACCCGGCCAGATGAGAACATCGGACGAGTTGCGCACTTCCAAACTGTTGCTCTTGCTCACCTTGTCATCGATGAGTGTTGAAGCACTCCAGAGTATTGCCGGTGCACTTGTTCGTCTACAGTCAGCATATTTTGGTTGTGGTCGCTCGATTTTGAACGATTCTTTGACATCAACTTTTAGTTGTTCCTGAAAAGAAAATTTCAACAGAACAGAGCGAAATGGTAGGTTTTTTGAAGGCTTTTTAGCAATGATTAAGATAAAGATCCGGTCCACATAAAAGTAAACCATAGCCATAGCCAACCAACATATTGTACAAATTCAATTTTTAGTGTAGTATTCATCTGTATTCAATAATTTTAAACTGCAACGCCACAGTGATAATAGTGACAAAAAAGGAATTAATTGAAAAAGGAAGCAAAGTTACGACATATGAGATGATGACAAAAGGAAAGGAAAAGGAGAGATGAAAGGCACTGCGAGATTATATATCATATCACAAAGGTTACAATTTATTTGCATTCAATTTGATTAGGCCTCGAAATCTAGATTTCCATGAAATTCTTGAATTTTCTGTTTTTTTCAACATTTCAACGCTTCCTCATATTTGATCTATACTCGAGTTTAAACCACAGAAAGGATTTTGATCTTCAGGTAACAAGCACTATTTCGCCATGGAAATTCTATAGACGAGACCAGAGAATTTGTCTTCAATTTTTTCGAAATATAGTGATGTCACGTTTTCTTGGATATGGCGAACATAGCGCAAGCCGAAAATTTTCGTGACTGAGGATAACTTTGTAAAAAGTGAGGAATTGGTACCAACAGAAATTACGGAATATCTCAAAAATCAAAACTTGGCATCGAAAGTGTAAAAAAGGACGAATTATAGTTACGCACACGAAGGATACTTATGCCCGAAGAATACCTTAAAAATTTTCACTTTGAATGAAATCCATAGAAATATTGAGAATATTTTGGAGGACAAGAGTGAATGAACTTTATTTTTGCGAACACATTCATCAAGGAACGGAGTGCTTTCAAAAGTATGTTTTTTCTTGAAATGTGAAGAAATAATGTGAAAAGAACTGGAGCTTCAAGCCCTTTCATTATCTCGCGTTCTTGGCATACGAACATAAAATAATTGTCATATTTTGTTTGAGTTACAAGCATGATGGACTGCGAAAAAAAGTAGCAGAATAACAGCTTTTTGGCTATTTCATAAGTCCAAAATATTGTTAAATCAAGGTTTGCATAAAAGCAAGGGTAATCCAGACAAGACCGAAAGAAATCATATAGTAGGGATACGGTATGGCTCAAAACAAGATTTGTGCATAGTTACATTATGTGAGAGTCTCACTAGCTCTCACCTGATCATCACATCGCGGACCCATTCGTCCGGCCAGAGTCTGCGGATCGCAGCACACCTGTATCATAATATATTTAAGACCACTTTACGGGGAATCAGTGCCGGCAGCGGCAACGGCGGACGGCGACGGCAGCGGTTGCGGAAGAGGCGCGCGAATCGTCACGGCTCTGGCGCGCAGAGGCTGAGGAGACCACCACCACGGTGGTCGTGTCTCTCTCACGCTCGCTGGCGCCCCGCCCTCGATCGTGACCACTGACCGCTGTCTGCGTCTACGGTCCGCGCACACTCACTACGCAATTCTGCAGCACCGTAGCCAGAAATCACGACTCCAACCGGCGAGGTACTCGCGCGCGCTTGCAGCAGCAGCGGCCAGCATGTGCAAACCCACGCCCGCCCATACGGTTCCATATCCGGGCTAGGAAAGCGAGAGAAAATTGAACACTTGCGGCCAAAGCCTAGCTCAAGGTTGGCTGTGCGGGGGGGGGGGGAGAGAGAGAAGAGACAAAAACCGTGTTCTGAGCTGCTGAGCAGCTGAACTGAATTTAACTCCTGTACGCTTTGCCGCTAAGATTCAGAATAGGTTGTGTAACAAGTTGTGTCCCATTTTTTAATTTCCTTATTTCTCAATACTCAGACAGTGACTAATAAAGTGTGCATACGCATCAGAAAGCTCTCAGTCTCCTCAACTCAATTTCTACCTCGTTTACGTCCGAAAAAATTCAGAAGGAACTCTTGGCTCAAAGATGAAAAGTCCAAAGAGGAATTAAATCCATTTTCGACATCTTTTTTCCTTCCACTTTCTCTCCATTTTCTTTTATAGAATTTACTCAAAAAACCTGACAACAAGCTAAACAACAGTCTAATTTTATTACAAATACCATTACAGTCTATTCTTGCTCCCCCCCTCTTCTTCTCTCTCAGGAATTGCTTCAGATGCCTAACGTTGACTTAGAAATACGTCAGCAAAAAGGGATCCGTCAACGGTTCGAAATAAATTCTAAATTATTTCAAAACTTCAAAGCAGTTTCGGAAGACATTGCAAGCTCATTCGGTTCGCAATTTTTCTCGGCTGTTTCCTAACAAGGGAAGGATGGTCAATCGAAATGGCCTTTTGCGACGAGCTGTAAACCATTCTGGAGGGCGTAAAATATGCTGATTCTAAAACTGTCCTCCTTATCTGCGGAGCATTCCTGTACGAGGAGGTTATCGTTTAAAGGAGCAAAGAAATGAATGTTTCTTTGGGATAAAAACAGTTGCTAAAATCTTCCCAGCGTTTGAATGAGACAGTCGGAGTGAGGCAGTGGCGTACCCAGGATTTCGGCTCGGGGTAGGGGGGGCGGCAAAAATTTTTTTCAAATGAGGGTGCGTGGCGTCAGCCACGCACTCCGCAAAAATTTTAGGGGGCTTCTCAAAATTTTTGCGGGCCCCCAACCCCTAAAATCCGGAAAAAGGGGGCGTCGCGCCAGCCACGCCCCCGAAAAAAATTTTTTTATAAGGCTAATTTGAATTTTTAGAAAATTTTAGGAATTATTTTAATTATTTACAAAATTAAACAAGTCGCTTTCCAACATTAACAAAGTGTACATGCATAGTGTGTATAACTTACGTGGACTGATAAAATGCCCTGTCTTCTGTACGTCTAAATGTGCTTACAGTGAAGTTATGGACAATTGTAATTTTGCCAAATCGCGTCGCGACTGAAATCGTGTGAAGTATGCCCCGCCACTTAGGGAGAGGGCGAGCCAAAAAGGTTGCAAAATTTTTGAAGAACTTGTATTGAAAGGTTGCGCAAGTGTACATGGATAATCAAGATAATTTCAAAACATTCTTGAAAATTCGGTTTACCTTGTAGAAATTTTGAAAAATTTCTTAAAAAAGCGATTTCACCCTGCAAAAGTCTTTCGAAGGCGTGGCTTTCACCTTGAGAGAGGATTGCTAGATGTTAATCTATAATTTGCAAAATCAAAAGTTGACAAAAAATCTTATTCGAAGTTACTGTGTCCTGTGATGCTGGATAGTTTGTGCTGTGTCCTTAAACACACAAAAATTAGCCGATTTCACAACACAAGACTGTATTCTTCAACTTTGTGAACTTTGATAAAGATGTAAGTAATTCATTTATATGAACATAAAGTGCAAAGGATGGAGCTTTTTAAAAAAGGAAAGGAAGCATTGTTGTTTGCATTCTCTTGGTAAATGCATCCGCAGATGTCACCTTGGCCGGTAGTGATCTACCCTACCTGGTGGCATCAAAGATGCCGGCAAGTAGACAGACATCGCGGGAAAGTTGCCATTTTCGGCGGCAGCTCGCGGAGTGATTATAAATTTTGATAATCTTATATAACGTTAGTACGCAATTATTTCGCACATTAAATTTTGATGACGCAGACAGCCGCAAAATTGCTACCTCGTCCGCGGTCGAACCTATGTGCGTTAACTTGAAGTGCCACCACGTTAACCATTCGACCATTCGGTCAGCCGTTCCCGTTTGCACCAGCAATAAGAGGAACGCGTTGGTAAATGGCTGCCTGTAAGAGGGATCGATACATTGGGTGAGAGACTTTGACCTGAAAGAACAGCTGATTGAGATGAGCAAGAGAGGGGCGAAATCAGTGCAAAGGAGATTCAGAAAGGATTGCCAAAAAAGATGTTTTTTATGATTCTGAGGTATTGGATTTTTTCTCTGTAAGAAAATCGTCGTCTTAAAAAAGAAAAACTCGTATAATGAGAAAAATGATAGCTTTTTGATGAAAAGTAAAAATTTTGATTTTTTAACCTGACGTAAATTGTGTGTTATCGCCGAAATTCGCAAACTTGCAGACGCCATCGGCGAAGGTGCCAGCACCTCGACGTGGTAGGGGCATGTCGAAGTGCCGGCAGCTTCCTCTCTCAGTAGAGCACACTATTTCTCGTGCTCTCTGACCTGCCGGCAGCTGCCATTTCGCGGATTTCGACGAGCTGCCGGCAGGTTGCCGTCAACTGACCTCGCGAAGTTGCCGGCAGCTCCTCCTGTGCTTCCAGATTTTTCTACAAGAGGATTTCTGGAACCGCAGATTTCGATGGAGGTTTCTATAGGGTCGAGGTGGCATCCTCATCAAGAAAATGTTTTGGAAAAAGGCCTTGGACGGCCTAAATTTGAGGTTTTAGTTTCTGGCCACCTTACGGAAAGGTGCCAGCGTTTGCCGACGAGACCTGCCGCCAGGTCGGGGAGAATTACTACCGGCCCTTGAGTCCCCAACATCAAGAGATCCGGTGAGGGGCAAACGTTGCAGGGCTCGTTAGTCGTGGAGCGCCCAGCGCAACCCGTTGGCCATAACAGGCAGCCAGCTGATGAGGTCTCAGTTTTTACATGTTTTTCTAACATCGTTTTTGATGTTTCTTGATCAATAAAGCTCTCTTTGTTGTCATTTTCAATCCAAATTGGTGCGTCACAACTTTTGGTTTGCGTCTGTCTGTTAAGTCAAAGTGTAATTTGTTTGTGTTTTCAAAATATTTTCATTTTTCAGTACTCGCTCCCGCAATCAAATCTGCAAGAAAGAAAGAGAAGCTGTACTTGGTAGATGAATTGACGGAGAATACGACTCAACAGATACTGCAGCTCGACCACGTATTCTTGCAAACATGTTTTCTTTGTGGCGAAAGGGGCCCGAGGACAAAAAGAATATTGTACTATGGCTTAATTGCTCCAGTACGGGAACTTCAAAGCATAGGTCCGTATGTCATGCAGAAGCGAGGGACAGCCTTGCACAATCTGCGTTAATGGTACGTGGCAGCTAGAGCCGGTTTGAATTGGTTTTTTTTCGCCTTTTTACTTTTTTTTTCAACTTGTCGAACTGTTACTCTCTAAGTTACTTTAGCATTTCTACGCAAAGTCTGTTTATTCTTTTTTTTTGAGTATGCTTAGCACTTTTTCGTTACTAAAACATGCTTGTTCTGCTGTACTTAGTGCATTCTCTCTGGTATCACGAATCCGGTGAACATCGTGCTCAACAATTCGGTCAAAACTACTTCCATAGCTTTGATTTGCTCGGTGAATCGAAACAGTCCAACATGTACAAATCTAATCATGTCATATGACACTGTCATAGGTAGCGCACCTCTCACTGTATCTACTTCTCATTGGTTTAGTGCTTCTTGTTTTTGTATGCGTGGCTATTGTAACTGCTCTTGTAAATCTTTGTGTTTCATATTCTCAGAGTGCTCCCTTTGGTTGTGATCGTCATAGAAGGCGCTTGATCAATAAATTATTCTTACGAGCCTTTTCCTTTACAACTGTAAGATCTATTCTCAAAAGAGAGCTTTTTGATCAAAAGTGTAGCTATTATTGTGCTCTCGAAAATCTTTCTGCTTTATATTCTAAGGTATTCAATAGTGTATTTTCTTTGTTTGTGATTGTTGTGTAAGGTGCTTTGGCTGATAAGTCCTAAAGAGTCTGCTTCAGTTGACAGTTGTAGGGTTTATCCTCAAAAGAAAGCTTACAATAAAAAAGTGACTAACTAGCGGTCTTTGCTCAAAATATTTCTTTCGTTTTGCATCTACTACGGAACATTAGCAAATAAGTCTCGTGATAAAGAAGGTCGAAAATAGGCCAACATCAGATGGCTTGCCAGCTATGGTCAATGATTGCTCTGACGCGCTCCACGGCTAACGAGCCCCTCAACGTTTGCCGCGTACCGGATCTTCAGCATGCTTAGTGCATTTGCTTGCTTTGCTTAAGTTATCACAATACTCTGTCCCATGCTTTGAGCCTTTTATATCGCTTCGAAAGGAAGGGCTGGTAAGGAGATTTTTTGGGTGTCGTCAGAATTTTTTGGACATATTAAGCACGCGGAGGAGACAAACTTGAGTTCAGGTAGGTACTTGTGCTTAAACTACAGAATAGATTTGTATAAAAACCTTTCGAAAAATTATGTGAGCAAGGGGATATGAACAAGGTGCTATTACTATCTCCCATGAGGAGCAACCTAGAAGGAAGAAACCATACAACTTCTCTCGTTCTCACAACTTTTTCGTAATTTTTCTCTTGATTATAGTCGCGAAGGTAAACACGAAATTAATGTATCATGC